TATAACCTGTTCTACTTAGGTGCATCCTGAAAACTGGTTGGATATGATTTTTAACAGTGCTAATCTATTTTGCATAACCTGTTCTGTTTAGGTTCATCCTGAAAACACTGATTGGACGTGTTTTGAACAAAGTGCTAGTCTTGATGTTAAATCTTTCTTTGGTTTTGAAAATGCAGTTGAGAAAGTTGCCATGAAACAGTATTCACAGAATATCAAGAAGGTAAGCACTGTTTTACTTTTCTCTTTTTCTACCACTATTTTTATCAATTCCTTTTCTTGTTTTTGTAGTAGTGCTGTTATAAACAATTTATTTTTATATGGTCACAAACATAAGTAATGCATCTTTTGTGATTTCAGTTTTACTAAGTAAAGAATGCAGATTAATAGAAAAAAAAAAATTTTTTTTGTGAAGAACACAGAAATATGTCATGAACAATTAATAACTCTTGTTCCAATAAATTGAATGATAGGTTATAGTAAAAAAACTTTCATATAAAGGTGAATGATCATTTCTGAAATTAAAATAAATATCCAAGCTTTGAATCAACCCAATATAGAAATTAACAGTTTTTTTTCTGTAACTTTTTTTCAACTGTGGTGCTCATGTAAAACGTGCAGCGAAAGATTTCTTGTTATTTTTTTATCAGACGTTTATATAACGAAGGAGTGAATTGCTGAGGCAATATTAAAAAAAAGGTAAGATTAAAGAACTTTAATGTACAGTTTCATTGTTATGAAAACTTAAAATAATCAAACATATTTTTATGTAATTTGCATACAAACAATGCACGTGATTGGCTGATTTAAGATCCCACTCACGCCTTGCGTTTTGACTGCCTGCCATAAAGTTGAGTTTTGAAAATAGTAACGAAGCGTATAAAATGAAAGGTAGTGGAGTAAAAGTACAAGTAATTCTCCTAAAAATTACTTAAGTTAAAGTAAAGGTAGTTGAAAATATAAATACTTTTTAAAAAGTAGATACTGGATAAAGTTACTCAAGTTACTTCATTACATTTACACCCCTGCATAAAAATGTGTAATAATACTAGGTTGTTCAAAAAATGAAAAACAAAACTTAACCACAAACAAATAGTAAATGATAAACAGATGTTTTTAATGTTCATAAAATTTCAGGCTTAAAGACCATCTTGTGGTGATTTTAGTGTAATGTAACCAGAGATGTAAGAAAGTACTTAAAGACCATCTTGTGGTGATTTTAAAGTGTAATGGAACCAGAGATGTAAGAAAGCACTTAAAAACCATCTTGTGGTGATTTTAAAGTGTAATGGAACCAGAGATGTAAGAAAGCACTTAAAGACCATCTTGTGCTGATTTTAGTGTAATGTAACCAGAGATGTAAGAAAGCACTTAAAGACCATCTTGTGCTGATTTTAGTGTAATAGAACCAGAGATGTAAGAAAGCACTTAAAGACCATCTTGTGGTGATTTTAAAGTGTAATGGAACCAGAGATGTAAGAAAGCACTTAAAGACCATCTTGTGGTGATTTTAAAGTGTAATGGAACCAGAGATGTAAGAAAGCATTAAGAAGTTTATTTTAAATGGAGGATTGTTGGAAAAGTTTGTGTTAGATGTGAGCTGTGATTATTAATAATGATGTGTGGATGTATAAAACCCAATATAGGGCCAGATGTGGTTCTTTAGCTGCCAGTTAAAAGTTTGATTAAACTTAGCCTATCATTTCCCCACCATTTAGATTTATTTGGTAAGACTTAGATATAAAATTACACAAGTTTCATTGCTCTGTTTATTTTCTTGAGTGTTGAAAATGCTTATAATGCTTGGGAAGACATATTATTAAAGTATTATTATAATTTCAAACTTGAAACAGTATCTATTCATCTGAAGAACTTCTGATGTTTTTGTAAATCTTACTGTAAATAAAAGCTCCACAAATTACACACTTCTAAGTAATGAAGTCCAGTATCCTTTTGCGTTCATTATATGTTTTTAGTTTAGTCTGAAGCTTTCTCATTTTGTGGATTAGCTGAGCATGGCCTAGTGGTTAATATATATCAAGTTGTAGATCCAAGGGTTGGTTTTGAAATATGATGCCATAGTACTTGCTTTGCACTTTTAGCTATGGGAATGTTATAAAAGTGTCAGTCAGTTCCTTTATTTAGTTCAAAGAGCTGAAGAAATCCCTTGTGATGGCAGGTGCTGCTGTATTGTTGCCTTCCCTTTGTTCAATATTATAGATAGCTGTACCTGAATCCTTGGAGTCTGTTTAACACAGGTGTTAATAAGGTGCTGTTTAGGTTCCAAATTCAGTTATAACTAAACATATCTCTACTAGAAAATTAACTTAGCAGTATATTAGTTTCCCGAATAAAAATACTGTCATTATTAGAAGACTGGTTCAACAATAGAATAGTTTTGTAAATAGAAATATTGTGTCATTATTACAGAACTATTTCAGCAGTAGAGGCATGATAATCCATTCAAATCTTATCAATAAACCTAGAGCCAAGCAAGTTAGTGATTTGAAAATAGTTAAGAAATAAAACAACAATGGTATTGTAGAGTCTGTTCAGTTTTATCTTAGGAATGAATAATATTTAATGGAAATACAGCATTTGGAGCAATATCTTCCCTTCCTTATCTTTCACAGATCCACAATTACTGTTTGCAGCCATTTTGAAGTTCTGGTCTATAATGGGCAGTCACATGATGGTGAATCAATGAAAGGAATAAATACACATTAGTTACTTTGTATCCTGAGTATTAATTGGTTCACATTCAGTGTATATAGTGAAGTAACTTGTGTGCCAGAAAGATGCGTGATACTCTATAGGGCCTGAAAAGAGCTGTCTATTCTTAGAAAGTGGAAAAACTTGTATTATTCTTCATGATTTTGCCCCCCAGAGGCACAGCAGTATGTCTGTGGACTTACAATACTAGAAACTGGGTTTCGATACCCATGGTGGGCAGAGCACAGATAGCCCATTGTGTAGCTTTGTGCATAACTACAAACAAACAAACCTTCATGATTTTCTTAAGTGGACATTGCTTATGTATCTGACCTGTTTGAAACCGCCCTAGCAAAATAATTGTTGAAAAGACAGTAAAAAATTAAAATGTTAATCCTAATTCATGAAAGGGGTTATCCTTATGTGGAAAAAAAATCAGTTTTAATTATTAGCCAATTTAAATCCCCTATAGGAGGTAGACAAGTAATAATAATTATCCAGTTTTTCCATAGTAAACCAAAGATTACATTATTAATTTACCACCATTAAGAAAAATATCTGAATGGATAAGCCTAATGACTAAACCTGCAACTAGTAAGATGGATATGTGCTATTAGCTGCAGCATCTTTATAATTTTTCAAGATGCATGGGATATTTTCATGGTATGTTTGCCTTTCAGAGCTGACCAGTTCTTTCTTCTGTTAGTGTAACATTGAGCCTGACCTGTAATAATTACAGGAAGTTTCCTAATAATGTATTGTCGAAACGTTTTCATTACAAAAGAATAGATAACAGAAAGCCACACTTAACAATTAAAATTACTTGCTAATTTTAATTGTTAGATTTGGCTTTCTGTTATCTATTCTTTTGTTTGCAACTATTGTAATGTTGAAGCAGCTTCATTCATTGCTAATTTTAATTGTTAGGTTTGGCTTTCTGTTATCTCTTTTGTATGTAACTATTGTTAGCTGTTTACTACAGCTTAATTGAAATGTTAAAGGTAGAGATAAACACTTGTAAACTATAACTATGATGAACCTATCTCATGAAGGGTTTTGGTTGTGTAAAAAATTATGAAGTTTGTAATCAGGGAAAGACAACTTTGAAGATAACTTTTAACAACACTGTCCACAAGTAGTTATACTTGAAACTGCATAAATCACATAGAAAGTTCAGTAACATTTAGGTGTAAGAGCTTAGTGATTGTGTTGATACTTCGCTAAGAGATTAGAAGTTGAAGAGCTATAGTTGCTTCTGTTTTAGAAACAAAAGGACTCCATTTCATGATATGGTTTTGTGTTATTTTGGTTAAGCTAATGTCATACAGTTTGACATATTTTGATATTCTGTTAAAAATTTTGTTTCATTATTAATTTATGTATATTCTGCTACATTTAAGAGATCAATAAATTTATGAGCAAGCTATAACACATTTGACTTGAGTTAATAATTTGTTAAGTTTGCTTTTGTGTATTTAAAATTCACATTTCCAGGTTTGGTGTGTTGTTTATAAACACTAGAGTTGTTTGGTTTTCTGTCCTTTAAAACTGACACTGTCAGATATAGTGGGTTACTTATATTTACTAAAATTGTTTATCTTTTTCTATTTAAAATTAACATTGCTGTATTTAATGTATTGTTTTTGCTTAATGAAGTCTCTTGTGTTGTTTTGTGCATTGAAAACTTGCATTTCCAAGTTTTGATATGTTGTTTATACTTACTAGTGTTGTTTGTTTTTCTGTACTTAAAACTAGCAGCACCAGGTTTGATATGTTGTTTATAATTATTCAAATTGTTAGGTTTACTCTGTTTGACAGTGACATTGGTATGTTTGATGTGTTGCTTCTACTTACTAAAGTTCTTTTTTCGTTGTTTATTTTTGTGTTTAAAACACATTTTTTAGGGAAAGGAAGTGATTGAGTTTTATATCAACGAACTTCTGAGTGAAGGGATAACTCACATTCCTTTGTTTGAAGAAAGAAAGAAGCTTCCAGAAATCAAAGTGACAGAAGGAGATAAGCTTCTTGAAGCTACAGGACAGCCACCACCGGAATCTACTCAAGTTGGTACGTTCATGTAAAATTTATGTTTTTAATACGTATTTGAAGCTACAGGGTATCCATTGTTGGACTCTACTCAAGTGGGTATCTTCATCTAGTATGTATAATTTCTTATACGGCACATTACCTCTTCTCACATAAATAGCTATTCTTGTTCAGTGCTGCCCTCTATATACAAAAATATTTTGTGCATGCCAGAAGTCTTGAAGCTCCCACTCGTCTGGAATTGACTGATTCCAATGCATCTCGCATACAAATCATCATGCGACAAACCTTCACGAATAAGAGTGCGACATACTTTCTTGAGGGTTTGGATTCTGATTTGATTGGCCTTTTAATCGTTGTATCCTTTGTAAAAACTGCACTGTAAGGCCATAATTCCATGACTACTAAATGCACATTGCTGAGATGGATTGTTCCATAAGATCACTTGTAGTTTTATCCTCGTGATACATTTGCTTCATTAATATGCCCGTCCCAGACTGTACTCACCCAAGGACTACATGGGTATAGCTGCTCATCCCTGCCATGCCTTGTATTGAATTAATCAGTATGGTTTGCTTTTCAGAATAGGGTTTTATCATCACCCATTGCATTGTCTCAGATGTTGTCATTCCTCCAGACTCTCCACCTCGCTTCCCCCCTTTTTATCTAGTGGAATTTGAGAGTCCTTACCACTTTCCAGTTCTAACCCACTGGGGTGGTGGATCTTGGAGGCATTCTCCTGAATGTGTTAATGAAATATAAATAATATATATATGCTAAATATCCATACATGATAATAAAAACATTCAGTTGAGAGTAGGGCAGTGGTGTTCTGCTGGTGTAGATGATGAGATATCCTCTACTATGTAACATTGGAGTGAGCCATCCAAATTGCAGTTCACCCCTTTGATTGGGATCCCTCATCCTACCCCCCTTGTGGATGTTGGTTCCCAGTGGCTGGGGTTTGGATTTGAAGCTGAACCAATCAAGATAAGTCCTCACACATGTATTACAGATGTCTCTATTCCCTCACTCATTTCTACTTTTGTTACTCCATTCGTGTTGTGGGTCATAATGGAAGTACTTGCAAATTACTATGGTTTTTCCCCTTTCACTCTCCCAAGTATTACTGAGCTTTGGGGCAGTTCCTGTCATTTTAATTTTCAGTGAGATGGTTTACATTACACAGACATCTTTTTGATGCTGGATGTTGGGTTCCCGGATTGATCAGTCAATTTCTAATATTGTTATCAAGTGTCCCATTCATGGGTTGGGGGGTACGAGAGTCCCTCCGGTCTCATAAAAGTGAGGTGAAGATGGTATGATCCTCTTTTCTCCCCCACCAGATGGCTGGGAACTTCTGAGTGAAGGGATAACTCACATTCCTTTGTTTGAAGAAAGAAAGAATCTTCCAGAAATCAAAGTGACAGAAGGAGATAAGCTTCTTGAAGTTACAGGACAACCACCACTGGAATCAACTCAAGTTGGTACGTTCATGTAAAATTAATTTTTTTAATACATATTTGAAGCTACAGAATATCCATTGTTGGACTCTACACAAGTGGGTATCTTCATCTAGTGTTCATAATATCTTTTGGTTTACTACCTGAAACTACAGGATAGCTATTGTTAGACTACTCAAGTGGGTATCTTCATCTAGTGTGTATAATTTCTGATATGGCACATTACCTCCGTTCACATAAATAGCTATTCTCATTCAGTGCTGCCTTCTATATACAAAAATATTTTGTGCATGCCATAAGACTTGAAGCTCCCATTCATCTGGAATTGACTGATTCCAATGTGTCTCACATACAAATCATCATGCAACAAACGTTCACACTCCCCCCCCCCCCCTTTTTTTTTCTAGTGGAGTTTGAGAGTCCTTACCACTTTCCAGTTCTAAGCCACTGGGGTGGTGGATCTTGGAAGGCATTCTCCTGAATGTGTTAATGAAATACAAATAATATATATATATATGCTAAATATCCATACATGATAATAAAAACATTCAGTTGAGAGTAGGGCAGTGGTGTTCTGCTGGTGTAGATGATGAGATGTCCTCTACTATGTAACATTGGAGTGAGCCATCAAAATTGCACTTCAAAATTGTTTTGGATTTAAAGCTGAACCAATCAACATAAGTCCTCACACATGTATTACAGATCTCTCTGTTCCCTCACTCATTTCTACTTTTGTTACTCCATTCGTGTTGTGGGTCACAATAAAGGTACTTGCAAATTATTATGGTATTTTTCCCCTTTTGCTATCCCGAGTATTAGTGAGCTTTGGAAGGGTTCCTGTCATTTTCATTTTCAGTGAGATGATTTACATTACACAGACATCTTTTTGACACTGGATGTCGGGTTCCCAGAGCAATCAGTCAATTTCTAATATTGTTATCATGTGTCCTGGTCATGGGTGGGGGTACGAGATTCCCTCCAGTCTCATGAACTTAGATGAAGATGGTATGATCCTCTTTTCTCCCCTACCAGATGGCTGAGTTTTGGATTGTAGTTGACTTACCGACAGTATGATCCTCTTTCCTACTTCCACATTGATATCGGTTCCCAGTGGCCTGGTTTTGGATTGTAGTTGACTTACTGGCAGAATGATTCTCTTTCCTACCCTGACATGGATATTAGTTCCTCGTGGCCAGGTTTTGTATTGTAGTTGACTTACCAACAGTATGATCCTCATGCAACCCCCGTGTGGATGTTGGTTCCCGGCAGCCTGGGTTTTGGATGTAGTTGATTTGCTGTGTATGGTCCATCATGCCCTAGCCAGTCTACAGCTGGAGGCACATCCTTTTACTCTCACCCACATTTATGTATTATGGGAATGAGATTCATATATCGTGTGGATCGGATTCCTATCCAACCATAGTTCTCTTTCTATTGGATGCGTTACTCCTTATTTCCACTCATATCTGTGACACCTTTTTCTACATTGGCCAAAAAGTATACCTGGTACAAAAGTGGTGTGGTCTCTTGCATATGGTCTTCAACTCCAAAGATCTCCTCTTTGGGAGTGTCCTTTGGATGCTTTTGAAGGATGCTTCTTTCTGTCCCTTGCAAGTCCCTTGAGAAGAGGTAATGTACTGCATCGAAAGTTATAATTTTCCTATACTGAAAATTTATTTCCGATAGGCATTTACCTCCTCTTACACTTCCTCCCCACTTAAAACCAGTGCTTCTATTTTCTGCCAGAACTCGAAGTGATAATTTGTTAAAATTGAATAGAGGGAGTCACATGCATCAAAAGAGTATGTTGCCGTCTTATTGCCGGAGGGTTGTCACATGATGATTTGCATGTGAGACGTATTAGAATCAATCAATTCCAGATGAGTGGGAGCTTCAAGGCTTGTGGCATGTGCAAAAAATTTTGCATATAGAAGCAGCACTGAATGAGAATAGCTATTTATCTGATAAAGGTAAGTGCCTATAGGAAATATATTTTCAGTATAGGAAAATTATAACTTTGTTTGGTTAAATACCTGAAGATAAAGGATAGCTGTTATTGGACTCTTCAAGTTTGTTTGAAAGATAGTTAAAATAACCTGAAACAATAGTTGATCATTTTCTTTACAATAATCAGCTGAATAATAATTTTGATTAATAGATTATTTTATAGGAGGCTAATTGATGTAATTGATACTCATAGGAAATAAATTATGTCTATTATTCGAAATCATCACCCAACACTAATGTCCTAAGTGAATAATGGACAACCTGATACCTTATTTCCAGTTTTTGGAAATATCCTCTTTAAGTTGGAATTTTGTAACAGCTGAGGATCAGATTTAGTTATTATTGAAATTGTATGATCCTGAGGGTTGTATAACCAGCATTTATATTTCTGTACTTGAATTAATAAGATTTTGTCATCCTCAGGTTTATTGCTTAATTTTACTTCCAGTAATTCTGACAGGTTGAATGGAGCAAGGCCTGAGAAATAAAAGATTTTTTAAAAGTAGTTTTTGTTTATTAGCCCTGTAAAAAGATCTGATGTAGAGAAATTATAGCTGCTTTTATTTTGTTTCCTGTGTAGCCTAAGTACATATACATCTAGCATGAAACAAATTATCTTAAAATCTAAACTGGTATAATTTTTTATTTCTTTTAAAGTTATCATGTGTGCACAGACATGTACATTTAAAACATTCACCAAGAATCTAGAATGTGCAGAAATATTCATTCTCAGGAATGAGAGTAAAATATAGTTTAGTGGGTTTAGAAGAAAACGTAATAGAAGACCACTGATAGTTACAGTCTTGTACTTGAATTCCTGTTGTTAATTTCATAGATGTCAACTTGAAGTTGGAATCGGAGTACATTGAACGACGACTTGGAAAGCTCACACCTTATCAGGAATCTTGTTTAGTAAGATTGAAGAAGTGGATGGCTGAAGCTCACCAGGGCAAGGTTTGTAATTACAGACTGAGATAGAAGAAGGGATAGAAACTGTTTAGCTTCAGCCATCCACCACTTTAATCTTTCTCAACAGTTTCTATCCCTTCTTCTATCTCTGCCTGTAATTACAAACCTTGCCCTGGTGAGCTTCAGCCATCCACCACTTTAATCTTTCTCACCAGGGCAAGGTTTGTAATTACAGGCAGAGATAGAAGAAGGGATAGAAACTGTTTAGAAAGATTAAAGTGGTGGATGGCTGAAGCTCACCAGGGCAAGGTTTGTAATTACAGACAGAGATAGAAGAAGGGATAGAAACTGTTGAGAAAGATTAAAGTGGTGGATGGCTGATGCTCACCAGGGCAAGGTTTGTAATTACAGGCAGAGATAGAAGAAGGGATAGAAAATTTTAGAAAGATTAAAGTGGTGGATGGCTGAAGCTCACCAGGGCAAGGTTTGTAATTACAGGCAGGAATAGAAGAAGGGATAGAAACTGTTGAGAAAGATTAAAGTGGTGGATGGCTGTGGCCTATCAGGGCAAAGTTTGTAATGATAGTTGAAGAATGGATAAAAATTTTGTTTTCAGTTATTACTTTTCATGAAGAAAAGTAATATAGAATTGAATATTTTTCTGTAACGATATTACGTTACTGGATATTGTAACCATTTTACTACACTTACTATTTTTACATTGCATTACTATAAGAAGAGGCTGTTAAAATGCTTAGGTAATCTAAATAATTATTTTCATTCCCATGCAGTCATACAGGGAACATAGATGAATCTGTCTTCAAAATAGTTGATGATATTTTACTTAAACTACAGAAATATTGACAATAAAATATTTGTATATCTTTATACATTTGGTCATTTAAGTTCTTGTATGAAAATGGTTTCTTATTTTTTTATATAATTTTTCTTTTTGGGGTAGTGATATTCTCTGATTGTGTCAAAAACTCGAAGCTAGCATAAAAATGTATTGGAAATTCTGTTCAGGTACCAAGTGATCAGACCCTAGTTCGTTTCCTGCAAGCTCAAGACTACAATTTGGAGAAAGCTAGAGAAAATCTTTGTCAGTCCCTGGTATGGAGGAAGAAATATCAGGTGGACAAAATCCTGAACTCTTACAACCTTCCCGAAGTTGTGACACGGTACTTCCCTGGTGGATGGCATAAACATGACAGATGTGAGTCGTGATATCTGTACATAACAGAGGACAAAACTCAAACTGCACAGCACACTAGAAAGTGTAGTTAGATAATTTTAGTGTAGATTATATCATCGTGCCAAAATTGTGCTTAAGTTGGAAGAGAAATGGACATTGTGATAGAAGGATATAGCCGATTATTAATAATAATAATATATATACATTTTACAATGTTTTCTCTATGTATCGTAGTAAAATGTCAAATTGTCATTGATCAATTATTCAAATAAATAACTAGATACCAAAAACATACTATCAATTAATGTTATATAAAGTTAGCTAGGACTAAAGACTTTCATGATTCTGCTGTGGAAGTTGCTTAATAAAATCTTTACCCCAAATGAAATCTAAGTCAAAATATTGGGAACCAACATTATTAGCAGGTTTTACTTACTACCTGAGTTCTGTCTTGAAATATTTACTGTGCTACATTAAAACTTGTACTCATGGTGGTTATATCTGTAATAACTTAGGTAAAAAACTAACCAATTTTGTACATTGTAACTTTTGTGGGTCTCAGATACTGAGTATTATTATTTGTTGCCTAGCTGGTCGACCTTTGTACATACTCCGTCTAGGACAGATGGATGTGAAGGGTTTTATAAAGTCTATAGGAGAAGAAGGTCTTGTAAAATTGGTATGTATTTGGAGTCTGCTTTTACAAGTTTTTATTTGTTAGAAATTCATGTAAAAAGTTATTATTATACAACTACTATTACAAATATATTTGGCACAATAGATTCCTACATCAAAAATGTATCTCACCATTAAAATATTCACATAGAGAATCCATTTTTCATCACTGGTGGCAATTCTGTCCAAAAAAAGGTTCACGCGCCAGAAGAAATGAAGCAACTTTCACACGTGAGGCACCCAAACACCTTCTTTTGGGTTTTTTCCATATTCCTTAGATGTTTACGTATTGTTTCATGAGAGACATGCAATTTCAGGGCTATTTCACAAGTGTGTTGCCATAGGTTAGACTCAACAAGCATCTTCAGAGCATCAATATCATTTCCAACATGTCGGCCCTTGCCATCACAGTTTTTAAGGCTAAAGTCACCTGTACGAAATTTGCTGAACCATCGTTAAGAACAAAAATGTTTCTTTTTGTGACGGAATTTAACAAAAAAAAAATGGGACTTTTTCCCTCGATTGATTGAAAGAAATATTTCGAAGATAGGAGCATGAATGGAAAAAATACATAAAGAGAGGAATTTGTTTGAATATATATTTGTTGTTGTTTGGTTTATATATTTTTTCCCATTTCAATATTATATAAATGCATGAATTGATTAGTCCAATGTTGAAAAAATTTATTTGAATTGTATTAAATATCTCTTATAACAATTCTTAGAAAAATGACAACTGTTAAAAAGATCTCACTTTGGTAGCAGTCTTTCCTTGCACTCAATAAAATTACAAGGAATGGTGGCATCCAGCAGAAAAAAATCTCTGCGGTTACTTAGTGAACCTAAGTGCTTTATTGTACTGGATGCAACCATTGCATCAAATCCCAAGCATTTTTTTTTCCAACAGTGCATTCCATTCACATTCCTTTGCAAAAAACAAATGCTGTGCAACTTTCCTTATTGATATAACACATTGAATGACAAAAGTTATGTAGGAATAATGCAGATGCCATCTCTACTATGTTGTTTGCATTGTTTTTGAAGGATTGATATTAGCCATCCCTACATTTAATTCCCTTTTTGAAAAGTTCTAAAACAATGAGGTCCCAACTATAATATTTATTGTTTATCTATTATTGACTAGTAATTCCTGTTTCACTCCGTATTTAAGCTTTTTGAAGTGACATCAAATTTCTGTAAGAAAGCTAACTGCAAGGGGTAATGATAACATCGTTTACACTAGAATTATGATACTCCATTTGAAACTATGTCACCTCAGTGACTTTGGTTAACGCCATTGTATTTGTTTTTGAGTTATCATGTAATAAAAATGAAGCAGAAGAAAAGAACATGAAGTTTAAACTTTTTGCTATGATATTTACAGACATTCCCAGAACTTGTGACTCAGTCGTTACATAGATATTGTTATGAAAAAAAAAACACTGTATATTTTTGTCAAGTTCTGATGACCTATTAAAATAGATATTTAAAATACCATTTAGATGAACAAATCGAGCCATCTCTACATAGGCAGTGTTACCACTTGCCTGATAAAGGGGTCCTCGTAGAAAAAGATAAGTTTTATCAAAATTAGAATTTTATAATGACCTTATTTTTCAGATTTTTTAATTTGTAGCAGGTGAGGCTTCTTTTATTCTCTAGCCTTCAAGTTTTTTTTTTGTTTGTATCTATTAAACGATTATTTCAAAGTGAAGCTTGTTTTAAACAACTGATATGTTCAGCAGTAAGGAAAGTATATATTTGAAAAAGACAAAGTTATATCTGTTGTTGTACAATGTAGACATTACATGTGTGTGAAGAAGGATTAAAGAAAACTGAAGACACTGCTACAAAGAAAGGCAAACCTATATAGTAAGTAATATTTATTTATATTTCTCTTTAAATGTGTCTTATTCATTTATTGTTTTCACATCTGATATAAAAATTTAGATTGTATGGATAATCTGTTTTAATATGATGAGTCAGTTTTTTCTTATAATTAGGTTGCCTTCAATTTTAAACACAGTATTGATAATAAGTCTGAAACTAATTTAGGCTATATTCACAAATCCCATCATGTTGTTTATACACTGCTCTAACATCTATTAAATTCATAATCCTTACAATGTGGATTTAAAAGCTGCTTCTAATAAGATTAGGAAAAGTTTTTAATTTAAGGATCAATTTTTGTTTCTTTATAATTAGCAAACATTCTCTTTGTGACTTGAGAATAAGAATAACTTAGTATTTAGCATTATGTTGAAAAAGGTGAAGTTGGCCACAATCAGAATTGTAAATAAAACGTTCCTGAAATATGTCTACAAATCTGGTCTCTATTAATTTTATAAATACTTCAGTTCGTGGACCTGCCTCCTAGACTTGGAAGGACTGAACATGCGACACCTGTGGCGACCTGGAGTGAAGGCTCTTCTTCATATCATCGAAATGGTAGAAACCAATTATCCTGAAACCATGGGTCTTGTCCTTATTGTTCGAGCTCCTCGGGTCTTCCCAATCCTGTGGACTTTGGTGAGCACCTTCATCAGTGATAACACGAGGTCAAAGTTCATATTTTATGGGGGAAATGATTACCAAGGATCTAATGGCCTGCAGCAGATCATAGACAAGGAATGCCTGCCAGATTTTCTAGGAGGGGATTCTCAGGTTTGTTTTCATTGTACTGCTTTCATTGTAATTTCTGACATCCTTTGTGTAAATAATTATATGGCTTTTTATTTCATTCTATAATAGTACAAATATAGAGCTTTTTCATGAAGACTGTTTCAGATTATTTGTATACAACAGCATGCATTCAAAACTATTTGAATAAATAGTTTCATTTTGAGTTTGCTTACAGAATATAAGTATTATTTTATTACAAGTTACAGCTTTTACAATAAGGAAAAATATTATATTTAGAACAGATACTATATTTCAATCACTGCTGAAATAATTCCATTTTGATCACACCAGTAATCGAAATTTCATACCTGTTCTAAATAATATTTTTCCTTACCATAAAAGCTGCAACTTGTAATAAAATACTATTTGAATAAATATTCAACAAAATAATAAATAATATTTTTCCTTACCATAAAAGCTGTAACTTGTAATAAAATACTATTTGAATAAATATTCAACAAAATAAATAAATAATATTTTTCCTTACCATAAAAGCTGTAACTTGTAATAAAATAATACTTGAATAAATACTGAAGAAAGTAATTTAAACATAAGATTTATCTATTAGAATTGTAGTTTTTAGGTCTGCCCACTGTTTTATATTATGAATCAAAAAATTATTAATCAGTTTTCAACCAAATTTTTGCCTCTATAATTGGGATTGTAGTTTGCAGTCTTGGCAAAATTTCTTTTGGATACAGCAAAGTAATTTGTCAGTATTTGTAAAGTAGATAATGTTTGTTTAAAAAACTTATTATAAGAAATTTGCACAGATTAACTCAAAAAGTTAAAATGCATCTAAAATTAAGTTTTTTCAATTTATCTTGTAATTATATTTTTGCCATTTTTAGGACTTCAACTCAGTTTTATGTTTGAATGATGTACAGGCAAACCTCCCATTATATTGCTTATAAAGTTAGACACAGTACTTGAAGCATTTATGTATCAGCACATGTAAAAGGACATTCTTAAGTTTATACAGTAGTAAATTAAGGGTGGTTTAGTTACTTTGATGAAAGCAAGTTTTGTTTCCATTCTGGGTGGTAATGATGCCAATTGTAGTATTGTGCTGAATGGGTCACTACATATCTTACAACATGAGATAATGAATCTCATAATGTGTTACTGTTTTACAATACAAGATGATGGACCACACTGTTTTACAGTACAAGATTATGGACCACACTGTTTTACAGTACAAGATGATGGACCACACTGTTTTACAGTACAAGATGATGGACCACACTGTTTTACAGTACAAGATGATGGACCACACTGTTTTACAGTACAAGATGATGGACCACACTGTTTTACAGTACAAGATGATGGACCACACTGTTTTACAGTACAAGATTGTGGACCACACTGTTTTACAGTACAAGATTGTGGACCACACTGTTTTACAGTACAAGATTGTGGACCACACTGTTTTACAGTACAAGATTATGGACCACACTGTTTTACAATACAAGATGGAGGATCTTGGTTACTGTGTAGTTGATGTATGATGACAGACTGTGTGGTGAGAACATTAATGTTAGTATTGTAACAAATCCTTTTTAGCTTCATAATGGTTGTTGTACAGATATTTACAAAACCATTCTTTTTTTATAACAACTATTTGACCATTGATTTTTTTACTGAGTTCAAATTATAAGATTAAAGCTTTATTCTGTTTAAATTTGAGAAATGTTAATAATTGGCATGGTTACGTTTTGTTTTTGTTAAAGTTTTGTCTTGCATTCACTAAATTTCTTTTGAAGACTATTTTTATTTGAAAGACCAGTGTTTTGAACAATCTGAACTCTTAAGAAACTATATTCATACAGGCTAATATATGTGAAGGAGGACTAGTGCCTAAATCATACTACATGTCAGAGGAAGAATATGAAAGAGAACGTTTACAAGGCAATCGTCTCTTCGATGATTCCATGTATCACTCAGTCAGCCTCGGGAAGGGACAAGTACATGAGGTAAAGCTAATGATGGTAATGAAGACTCAAACAAAATGAAATTAAGTTCAATAATTTTTAGGTAGGAATAAGATGCTTCAAACAATGTTGTTAAACACTAGTTTACTTACATTAGTTTTATTCGTATTCAAAATTTTAATGTCCGGTCATATCAATGTTATTATTAATTTTATTTCCTGGGTACTGGTTTTTATAGAGTGCATGTAAGGATGTTCATTGATTTCTAACTCCTTATTAGTCTTTCAGAATATTGTTTACAGGGGAAGTGTTAATGCAAGAGTGTAATTGTAGTGATTAGTAATAAGATAGAGAAGTATCTGAAAGAAAGTTGTTAATTAACAGTGATGCATTCTGGGATGCTTGAAAAGCGTGATATCACTTGCATGTTGTCTCTTAACTTTTGCTGGTCATGTTTCAAGGTTTAAGTTATAAGCTATGTTGAATATGTGTTTTACATATAAAAGTGAAGGGAAAAACCTTTTGAATTGTACTTTAAAATTATACATTTAATGAAGTGATTACAATACAAAAGCCCAAGTACACATTAATTCTTCAAGAGTGAATTTGGAGTGTGTAGGACATGTTAAGTATAGTGATCATTGATGGTATTGTGGGTATCTGTGTTAACCCACCCTCAAAATACTGATATGTTTAGGTTGGCTATCAACAGGAATGTTATAAGTAATCAAAAATGATATAGAAATAAGTAAAATTATAGTAAACTATGATAAATGTGGAAAATATGAATTAATAAGTAGTTAAATAGATTAGAAATAAAATAAAATTATTTTATCATAGTAATTGTCAAATACAAGATCTTGAAAGGAAAATATTATATAACAGCACAGAAAACCAAATTGTTTAACAGCTTGAATGGTGAGTTAGAAAAATGATATTCCAGTAATACTAAGTAATATTCTAATTTTTAAGCTATTGTGCAATGATTGAGTAACACAAACTGTGTATCCATGATACACACAGGAACAAATTGGTAGTACTCTCCTTTTTTGTTTTTTTGAACTAAGAATTCCATCTTTTGTGGGATTTTTCTTTCTAAGCCCTGTCCAAAGACTAGTTTGTGGATGCACCTTGCGATATATATATATATATATACACACACACATACATATAGATACACACACACACATATATATATATATAT